GTTGGGGTGGTTGGGGTGGTTGGGCTGATTGGGCTGGTTGGGGTGGTTGGGCTGATTGGGGCGGTTGGGTTGGTTGGGCTGATTGGGGCGGTTGGGCTGATTGGGTTGGTTGGGCTGGTTGGGCTGATTGGGGTGGTTGGGCTGATTGGGTTGGTTGGGCTGATTGGGGTGGTTGGGGCGGTTGGGCTGATTGGGTTGGTTGGGCTGGTTGGGCTGATTGGGGTGGTTGGGCTGGTTGGGCTGATTGGGGTGGTTGGGGCGGTTGGGTTGGTTGGGTTGATTGGGCTGGTTGGGCTGGTTGGGCTGGTTGGGCTGATTGGGCTGATTGGGGTGGTTGGGCTGGTTGGGCTGATTGGGCTGGTTGGGCTGGTTAGATTGGTCGGGGGACGCGCCGAGTTTGGGAAAGGACACGTCTTCCGCGACGTTACATGTGCCCCTGCCGCCGGCGTTGGCGCGCAGGTAGATGTACCCACCATCCCCCCATCGCGTGCCCCAAGAGTTCTTGATCTTGTACGACTGGCCGTCATATCCGACGGCGATGGCGGCGTGGTCCGAGCGCGCGGCCGGACAAGCCGAGACTACACCGCCCACGTAGTTCTTCCACACGCTGTTGGCCGACGCCACGGTAACGACCACCGGCTGCTTGTTGAGTGCATTCATCAGTCCGCTTTCGCCCGACGTGTGGGTGCTGGCGCCGATGGCCAAGCGCTGCTTGGTGCATTGATTGTTGCACGTGCCAGTCTGGCCTCGGTACGGCCACGAGCTGTCCAGACACAGTCCTTCGGCCGCGTAGTCGATGGCGTACGAAGGATACCCGGTGTTGCAGCCGGCGCTGCCCCCCTTAGTCGAGCAGCTCGTGACTTGCTGGACCGACAAACTCAAGAGGTTCCCCGTGGCGATGCAGTGGGCCGCCTCCGCAACCCCCACCGCTGCATGTGCCCAGCACGACAGGCACTCGCCCTGATCGCGCACGGGCGGGTTGCACCGGGTCGACCAGTCAACGGCAGCTTCCCTATGGGACGCCGGGGGGGCGACTTCGACTTCGTTGGTGCCATTGAGGAATTGCTGACCATCTTGTTCAAACGAAATGGCCACGTGGCGTTTGAACTCGGCTTCATTGAGGAGGGCGAAAGGGTTCTTCCAGCTAAAGACGGCGTCGGGGTTTTGTTCCTGCGCCAGCTCCGCCTCGAACTTGGTGTCCAGCAAGCGCTGCAGCTTGTCGTCGAGGATGGCTCCTTCCGTGCGGGCGCTTTCTGTGGTGGGGGTGCGGGGGAGGAGGCCGTGTTCAGTGGCGAACGAGCCGAATTCGTTCTCCCACTCGGCCAAATTGACACCCAAGATGGCCTTTTCCGTCGATGACAAAGACATGACCGACTGTCTGGCCGCGGCAGCAGAGGCAAGAATAAACGCACCAAACTTCATTGTCGAGATGGCTACTGTGGGGGAGATCGTTAATCGAATAATGAAATGTTGAAATTCGCTCGATTAGAATGTGAATGGACTCATTTTCGTGGATGATTGTACTGGATGGGTGGTAAAAACACTGGTATCCTAAGTGATAGTAGTAGTGTGACTGAATATCCGTACGTATGGGCGAACCGTCTCCCAAGGAGATGAGAGAAGTATGGAATCCAATTTGAACCTGATAGCAGAAAGTCTACCCACTGAATTTAAGCATACAACAACTAAGCTAAGCGGAGGAAAAAGAAACTAACAAGGATTCCCTCAGTAACGGTGAGTGAAACGGGAAGAGATCAAGCTTAAAATCTCCACATTTGTGGCGATTTGTAGTGTATTGAGGCTGTTATGTCAGCGTCCCTTGGAAGAGGGCAGGTCGACAGTTCGACAGATTCGCAGTACCAAATGCTTGACCGCTTGCTGACTTATCCGGATCGTTGCAATGTCGATTAAATAATGCATATTTTAAGACAAAATTTTGCCACAATTTTTCAATGAAGGCAAAATATAACGTGGTACAGTACAGCACAAGGATTTCTTCGCACGAATGGATTAATACGTAGAATGCCATTTGAATACCATATTTCCCTCATCTCCCAAATTTTGATACCTTGTTCATTTTGCTCGAAACATCTCCAAATTTTAGCCTATGATTTGTAGAATCATGTTATTCAGACACCTAAAATTATGACCGAAACCAGCGAATACTATTCGCTGGAAAGCCATGTAACGTTTCCTATAGTAACTTACACGTAGTACTAGTACTACCTAGTGCAATTTAAAAGTCCCTTTCAAATATAATTACAATACTTATTCGCGAACTGCATTTGAACTGTGAAAAAGGTTATCAAATGAAAATTTTATTGCTATGGCTTTAAAAATACTTCAATTTTCGACATATCGTTAGAACAAGTCAACTGCCCAAGGGACGCAAATGGGGTACTCTTCTCCTCACGGAGTATTACTCTGTTCGTCTTGAAACATAGCCCACTTAGAGTGGGATGTATGGGGCTAAATAGCTTAACAAATGATGTTGAATTGCGAAACTAGTAGGACGCCCCGTATTTTGGTAGACGTTTCGCCCAAACGTACGGGTACTAGTAGTTCTTAAACGACCCTCCTATGGAATTCTGACGCACCCAAGGGGTGTACCCAATCCCGAGGCGTTACAGTGTATTTCCAACGAACCGCCGGATAATGAGGACATGCTTCTAGAGGGCAACCCTTGGACGCGTGTTGTTGCTGTACATGTCAATTTACAAACTACTACTTCGAAGTAGTACACTGTACTGTAATAGCACGTAGTTTTGAGCACAAGGTGAAAGTACTTGTTGGTACACCATCGACCCTAATCAGTGCGGATTGAGAATTAGTGTAGATTGAAAATTAGTGCGGTCCCCACTAATACATGTGTGATGGAATTCCCAAAATAAGTGAGTGGTTGGTAACTACTAGTAGTTCGCGATCAATATTAGTGTTTGGTGTATGCCACGAGGCCTAATTGCTCTGGAAGTCATAGAAATCCCTGAATACGGTATTGGATATCATAACGTTATGTCTTTTCGCTTGACTTTGTACTTCAATGCTGAATTGGGATGTGGCGTTTTGTGAGAAATCCCAGTTACAAAATCAGGATAAAAGTCCGTACTAATTCTCCATATTGGCTTCTCTAATATTGGTGGCGGTCCGCACTTTTTCTCCAATCCCATAATATGAAGTGCGGATTGAGATACTGTATTGTGCGGTCCACACTAATATATGTGCCGTAGGTCTGATGTAGAGGTTGAAAATGAGTGCGGTCCGCACTAATTACAGTCAACGGTGTAGTGAGAATGCGACGACTTGAACTTCAAGGACACTTGACCGTCCTACTCACAGCAAGATCCAGCAATTCTAATACAGTAACGTTACGACGATATGGTGACTTGTTTATGATGTGTCAAAAGGATATTTCAAGGCAAAGCGTCATCACCCTTCCAATTTTGGACTCTCGCTAGATTGCTATGTTTACTTGCACATCGTTGATCTTATACCTTTAAGTAGGTTGTTGCACCCAAAGGCTGGATCTCCACAAGCGCTTTCACTATCTCCCCAATCAATTTCTTTGCGTGCACTGTTCGGATTGTGTAAATTATGCCGATGTTTCATGGCTGTTACATATGATCGGAATTGTCCGAATGCTTTTGTGGTGTGTATACAACCAACTTGATCCTAACTATGACTTTCATAAGTCATGTCAATACTGGAGGTACAATTCCCGTTATACAGCACAACTATTTCATTCTCAGAAAACAATTTATATGGAACTCTCTTTGGAAGCTCGGACCGCTTCACCTCTTACTAGGGGTTACGTGATTAGCGATAGCTAACCACTGGTCATGCAGCTAACCCCCGGGATTTAGCATCGTATGTACTCATCGGGGGTAGGACGGAGTTCCAGGTTACAGGGCTACGGGCTAAAAAGTGTTCCGCGTGGCATAATCCCAAACATTGAAACAGTATTTCGGGTCAAATCAACCATGGAACTGGTAATGAAGGGATCAAGTGGTAAAGTGTTTTCAAGTTATAATGTTTGCGGAGGTACTGACAGTGAATCCCAATTTCAGTCATGTCCTGAGAAGTTGAGGGTGTCAAATGTCAAGCTATTGTCGGTGAGTTTGTTGACGATGGTGGGTAATAGCTGGTCTAAATATAGGGTAGCGGCATAGTCCTGCTGCATTCAACAGCACCCAGCGAATGAGTACAACGACTCAGCCACAAGGTGTTGCAATTGAAGCCTGGTGGCCACGATTCAATCGTGCACAGTGTGCTTTAAGCCACCAGTCGCCCTCGGCGAAACTTTGTCGGCTTGTGGCGTAGGCCGAAATTAATCGTATGGTGCATTTCAACTAAAGACTACAAAAAAATGCCTTGTCTTTCGACAGCTATTCCAACTTTGTATTGATATTTTTTAGGAAAATTAGCCGTAATAACGATAGAACTGGTCAAGACCAACAGAAG